CAGGATCCAACTACAAGAAACTCACTTCAGTTAAGTGATATAGACAGGCTGAAAGAAAAAGAATGGACCAACATATCATATAAACATTAATCAAAAGAAAACAGGCAGGGCTATAAAGTGGATAAAGTAGACTTGAGCCAAGAAAATTACCAGAGACAGAGGACATTATGTAATGATAAAAGGGTCACTCCAGCAAGAATAGCAATCCAGAGGTGCAAAGTATGTGAAGCAAAGACTGACACAATGAAAGAAGAGTCAGACAACTCCACAACTACAGTTGGAGATTTTAACACCCAACTCTCAACAATGGACAGAACTAGAAAGAAAATCAAAGGCCAAGCACGGTGGCTCACACCTATAATCCTGGCACTTTGGGAGGACAAGGCAGGCAGATCATTTGAGGCCAGGAATTTGAGACCAGCCTAGCCAACATGGCAAAACCCTGTCTCTACTAAAAAATAGAAAAATTAGCTGGATGTGAAGGCACACACCTGTAATCCTAGCTACCTGGGAGGCTGAGGCACGAAAATCGTTTGAACCTGGGAGGTGGAGAGTTGCAGTAAGCTGAGATCAAGTCACTGCACTCCAGCCTGAGTGACAGAGCAAGACTCTGTCTCAAAAGAGAGAGAGAGAGAGAGAGAGAGAGAGGACAGAGAGAGAGAGAAAGAGAAAGAAAGAGGGAGAGAGAGAGAGACAAAGACAGATAGATAGATTAGCAAGTATATTAAAGAACTTAATAATGCCATCATCCAACAGGAGCTAATCAACATTTATAAACATCACCCAATAACAGCATAATCATAAAACATATGCCAAGACAGACCATATTCTAGGCCATAAAACAAACAAATTTGTAAGAATTGAAATCATGCAAAAATATGTTATCTAACTGCAATGGAATTAAAAGCAAGAAGTCAACAATAGAAAGATTACAGAAAAATCTCTGCCAAACACTTGGAAATTAAATAAAACACTACTAAATAATCCATGGGTCACTGAAGTCTCAAGGGAAATCAATAAATCCAACTAACTGAATAAAAATAAAAGTGCAATGATATAATAAAATTGGGAAGTAGCCAAGCCTATGAAAAGGTAATTGATAACACTAAAAATGCATACACAACAAAGATAAAAATCAGCAAGCTAAACTTCCATGTGAAGTACCCAGAAAAAGAGCAAAACAAATCCAAAGAAAACAAAATGGAGGAAATAACAAAAACAAAATCAGTGAAAATAAAAACAAAAAAGAGAGAAATAATTGAATTCTACCAAACATTTAAAGAAGAATTGACACCAATCCTTTACAAACTCTTCCATAAAACAGAAGAGGAAGAAGACATCCTAATGCATTCTGAGGCCAGAATTACCTTGATTCCAAAACCAGACACAGACACCACAAGAAAACTAACGATCAATATCCTTTATGAATATAGACATAAAATCCTCAACAAAATGTTAGCAAACCAATTCTGGCACTTACAAAAAGTAAAGTCAGCCACAAGGGTGGTCAACATCTATGTCACTGGGCCCCAGTAAAAACTCAAAACACCGGATTCAGGGGAGCTTCCTTGATTGGCAGTAGTCTACGCTTATTTTCACTCATTACTGTTGGGGGAAGTAAGTGCTGTTTACATAACTCCACTGAGAGAGGACAACTGAAAGCTCTTCCTGGAAGTCTCCTGGACCCTGCCCCATGAGTCTCTCCTTTGACTGAGTTTAATCTGTACCCGTTTGCTGTAATAAACCATAACTGTGAGTATAACAGCTTTCAGTGGGTTCTCTAAGTTCGTCTAACAAATTATTAATAAACTTGAGGGTGTTCTTGGGAAACCCCTCAAAGTTTGCAATGACCAAGTAGAATTTATTCCAGGAATGTAAGGTTGGTTCAACATATGAAAATCAATCAATGTGATATACAATATTAAGCTGATTAGGACAAAAACCGTATGCTTATCTCAACAGACACAGAAAAACGTCTGACAAAATCTAATACCCTTTGATTATAAAAACACTCAACAAACTAGGAAGAGAGGGGAACTGCCTCAAACTGATAAAGGCATTTACCAAAACCCCACTACCAATATCATACTTAATATGAAAGACTGGAAGTTTTCCTTACAAGATCAGGAACAAGGATGTCTGCTCTTGTCACTTCTATTCAACACTGCACTGGAGATTATAGCCAGGGCAACCGACAAAATGAAGTAAAACGCATTCAGATTGCAGAGGAAGAAGTAAAACTATTGTTATTTGCAGATATCATGATTTTGGATATAGAAAACCTAAGGAATCCACACAAAAAAACCTATTAGAGCTAATAAACAAGTCTGGCATGGTTACAGGACAAAAAATCGATACCCAAAATTCAACAGTATTTCTATACACTAGCAATTAACAATCTTAAAAGGAAATTAAGAAAATAATTCAATTTGTAGTAGCATCAGAAAAAATAAAATACTTTGGAGTATGTTTCACCCAACAAGTACAAAACTTGCACACCAAAAACTACAAAACACTGTTGAGCAAAATGAAAGAAGATCCAAATAAATATAAAAGGAACTCTGTATTCATAGACTCAGACTTAGTATTGTTAAGATGGCAATACTCTCTGTGATGACTGATTTTAACATGGCAATACTCTCTGTGATGACTGATTTTATGTGTCAACTTGAGTGGGCTACAGGGTGCCCAGATATTTGGTGTTATTCTGAGTGTGTCTGTGGGGTGTTTCTGAATGAGATTAACATTTGAATCAGTAAGATGAGTAAGCAGATTGCCCTCCCCATTGCAGGTGGGCCTCATCCAATCTACTGAAAACCTGAATAAAATAAAAGGTTAAAAGGAAGAATTTATTCTCAATGCCTGTCTTAGAGCCAGGACACTGGTATTCTCCTGCTTCAGACTTGGACTCAGACTAGAAATTACACTATCAACTCTCCTGGTTCTGAGGCCTTCGGATTTGGACTGGAGCTATACCATTGGCTCTCCTGGGACTTCAGACTGCAAATTTCAGACCTTCTCAGCCTATATAATCAAGCAAATCAATTCCCTACAGTAATTTCTCTCTCTAAACACACATACACACATACACACTCACACACAAACACACACACATACACCTCTATACCTCTTATTGGTTCTGTTTCTCTGGAAACCCTAAAACCACTCTTCAAATTGGTATGCACATTCCATACAATCTCTATCAAAATCTAAGCTGGCTACTTTGCAGAGATTGACAAGCTGATCCTAATATTCGGATGAAAATGCAAGGGATGTGGAATAGCCAAAACAATTAAGAACAAAAAGTTGGAGGACTCACACTTATTGACTTCAAAACTTACTGCAAAGTTACAGAAATAAAAACAGTGTAATACTGGCATAAAGATGGATAAATAGTTCAATGGAATAGAGAGCCCAGAAGTAAGCCCTCATATTTCATATGGTGAAGTAATTTTCAGTAAGGGTCATAATACCACTCAATAGTTAAAAGATAGTTCTATTCAACAAATGGTGCTAGAAAAACTGGACATCCACATATAAAAGAATAAAGTTGGACCCTTACCTCATAATATATACAAAAATTAACTCAAAATGGATAAAAAATCTAAACCTAACAGCCAAAACTACACAATTCTTAGAACAAAACAGAAGGGAAAAGCCTCATGATAACAGATTCAGCAACGATTTCTTCTATATAACAACAAAAGCCAGACAAAGAAAAAACAGACAAACTAGACTTCCAAAATATTAAGACTTCAGTGAATCAAAGGACATTAATAACAGAGGCCAGAGACAACCCACAGAATGAGAGTAAATACTTGCAAATCACATCTGATAGGGGATTAATATCCAGAATATATAAAGAACACCTAAATCTCACCACCAAAAAACAACCAACCAAATTTAAATCCAGAGAAAGTACTGGAATACACAGTCCTCCAATATACAAATGGTCAATAAGCAAATAAAAAGATACTCAACATCACTAGTCATTAGAGAAATAACAATCAAAAACAAAATGAGACATTTCACACTCATTAAGGTGACTATTATTAAAAAAAAAAAAAAAAAGAAGTATTGGTGACGATGTGGAGAAACTGGAACCCTGTGCATTGCTAGTGGGAAGTTATAATGGTGTAGCCACTGTGAAAAAGCCTGGCAGTTCCTCAAAAAGTTATACATGTACTTACCGCATGGCCCAGCAACTGCAATTCTATTCCCAGGTATATAACTAAGAGAACTAAAAACACTACCACAAAAACTTTAACACAAATGTTCACAGCAGCATTATTGATAATAGACCCAAAGTGGAAAAACCCCAAACATCCATAAATTGATAAATAAACCATGAGGTATTAGCCACAAAAAACAATGACATACTGACATTTGCTATGACATGGATGAACCCTGAAAACAATATGCTAAGTGAAAGAGGGCAGTCACAAAAGGCCACATAGTATGTGATTTCATTTATCTTCAAGGTTCAGAATAGACAAATTCATATAGACAGAGAGTAGATTGTGTCTTCCAGGGACTGGGAGGAGAGAATGGACTGCTGGGCTTCTTTTGGGGATGATGAAAATGTTCTGGAATTAAGTAGTGGTGATAGTTATACAACTCTGTGAATAGACTAAAAACCAATGAACTGTACTCATCACATGATGTGTGGATTATATCTCAATAAAAATAAAAATAAAAAGTTTAATTTTAAAAAATGATTCAGACAACTTCTCTCCAAAGAAACAACAGTATCCTCACCTGCTCATAGATCTCAATGGCTTTCTGGTACTGCTCAAGCTGGGCAGCATACGCTGCCACCTTCAGCAGACACTTGTTTGCTGAGCTGAAATCAAGAACCAAAGCAGAATGAGTAACAAGCCAATGGAAAAATAAAAGATGTGCACTGGGCCTTAGTACATCTTCATTTGGTATAGTCAAATACACTCACAGAGTATAAAAAGAAGTATTTTTTTTTTATCACACATAATAAAACCCATTAAATTATATTAAGAAAAGTAATACTTGCCTATTGGATTCTTCTCCTTTGTAATAATCAGCAGATTGTTCATAATGTGCAATAGCCTGAAAACATACACATTTTATTCACACACAATTTATTTGGAGAGTTGCATTTTAAAGCCACATTTGCATAGGTATTTTTTTTATAAATAAACCTACTCTACCAGCAAACTTTTCACAACTCGGCCTATTTCTTTAGGAAATACAAGAAAGCCTGCACCTCTGGAAGCAGAATGCTTGCTGACCATCAAAATCTGTTTCTCCCTCCCCACATGGCATATGCCCAGCTACACTACTTCCTCAGCTTCCTCTATAGTGAGGGGCAGCCTGTGACTAGTTCTCTCCAGTGGAATGTAAACAGACATGCTGGGGGCCACTCCCAGGCTTGGGCCATATATCTCACTTTGCATCCTTCTCCAGGCCTTCCACTTCCCATGAGCTAGGATGGCTATGACCAAGTTCAGAGTGACACTGTAAGCTAGACACCCAAAATGGCAGTAACTGTCAGGCAGATTCCTAAATAACTACAAAGGACATAATGTACCTCCAACCCCAGTGTCTCTACCACTGTCAAACCCTTAGTAGCCACACTGGATTGTTAGAGAGGTATGAAGCCCTAATTACACTTTAGGTCTATGACGTGCAGCACAGACTACACCCACTAATACCGTAAGTGTCACCTAGAATAAGGATGTTGCTGTCAATCTAAAAATATATGGCATCAAGTGGAGAGGAAAAAGAGATCACAGGCCAGAAAGCTAGAAGTCCCTGTCATGCTGTGATGAAAGTTAGTGAAATCAACCACGTGACAACTCAGAAAAAAGAACTGGTGTCGGCCAGGTGCGGTGGCTCATGCCTACAATCCCAGCACTTTTGGAGGCCAAGGTAGGTGGAATACCTGAGGTCAGGAGTTCAGGACCAGCCTGGCCAACATGGTGAAACCCTATCTCTACTAAAAAAATATAAAAATTAGCCGGGCATGGTGCAGGCACCTGTAATCCCAGCTACTTGGGAGGCTGAGACAGGAGAACTGCTTGAACCTGGGAGGCAGAGGTTGCAGTGAGCTGAGATCGCACCATTGCACTCCAGCCTGGGCAACAAGAGTGAAACTCTGTCTCAAAACAAACAAAAAAATAGGTGTCTACCAGCGTCCAAAACTAAGCAAAATGGCTGAGAAAAGCCAGAAGATAGTGTGTGCTGCTGCTGTTAGCACAGTTTTGTGAGAGCTGAACTCTGCAAAGAATCAGCTGGTTTGTAGACAGTTGTAGACAATCTTAGAAATAAGGCTCTCATAAGATTGAAAAAACCTTCTATATCCCAGATAACGAGAGGTAAGTATAAGCAGTTCTTTAAACCAGGGCTCTAGCCAAGTTTTTCTCTAACAAGATCAGACAAGAAATATTTTAGGTTTTGTGCATCTTTGCCACAACTACTCAGCTCTCTTGTGGTAGCATAAAAGCAGTCATAGACAAGATATAAATGAATAAGTGTGGTTGTGTTCCAATAAAACTGTATTTATGAACAATGAAATTTCTAATTTCATATAATTTTTACATGTAGCAAATGCTTTTTTCTCTCAAGGATTAAAAACTGTAAAAATCATTTTTAGCATGCAAACATACAGAAGCAGGTGGTGGGTTTGCAGGCTGCTTGAATTACAAAGGTTTCCCAGTAAATGCAAATGAGGGAGCTAGCAGTCTTTGAAAATCAGAGTAAAGGTGCTACCTTTCTGCCCAAGCCCATTAGTTCAGTGGCTTCAAGGCAGCTCCTAGTGAGTTAGAAGAGAGCCGCAGGGACAAGAAAACAAATAAAACAAAACAGGCCATGGAACTATGTTAAAGTTAGAAAAGTACTTAGACCTGGCCCATCAAGCCCCAGGCCCCCAACTCCCTACAGATGGTGGTGGTGATGACCAAGAGCAGAAACTGAGCTACCAGAAGGCCATAAGCTAGAAGTGGCAGAGCCAGTATTAGCCTCTCAGGACTACAGAGGAACCCTGCCTCAAACATTCACATTGAACAGTTCTGTGAAAAACAGACACTTATACTGTGTTTATATGATTACATTTTGGGTCCATGATTTCAGTCCTTTAGCATAACCTAATATGCTCCCCCAAAACACATATTTTGAACATTATTTACAGTAGAAGAAAAGTTGAAAAAAAAATTAAGTGGTTACATATAATGGGATACCTGAAAAGGTTTTTTTTGTTTGTTTTTTTTGAGACAGGGTCTCATTCTGTTGTCCAGGTTGGACAGGCTGGAGTGGCATGAACACAGCTCACTGTAGCCTCAACCTCCTGGGCTCAAGTGATCCTCCCACCTCAGCCTTCCAAGTAGCTGAGACTACAGGCATGTGCCACCATGCCCAGCTAATTTTTTAATTTTTCATACAAATGAGGTCTTTTCATGTTGCCCAGGCTGGTCTCAAACTCCAGGACTCAAGCAATCCTCCCATCTTGGCCTCCCAAATGCTGAGATTACAGGTATGGACCATCATGCTTGGCCTTCACAGAATACTGAATTGAAAAATGCAGCTATAAAAGAATAGGTATACTATGGTCCTCTTTTTGCAAATACTTAGTAACATACAGAAGTAGTCTGGAAGAAAATACTTCTTTGGAACACCTGTCAAAGCTGTTATGTACACACACGTGGGATGACCTGATGAAGGTACATCTCCTCCTACTAAAATGTGGGCTCTGTGAGGGCAGGGCCATGACTGTTTGGCTCACCATCACAGCCCTGAGCCTAGCATGATGACTGTTTACAAAGTGGGTGCTCGGTAACAGATGCTAAGTGAATGAAGGCAAAGTGCATCACAAATGAAAGCTGCCTATTAAACTATTGCCAGTATCATGATTATGTGAAATACTCATGAAATAAAAGGTTTTCAGCGAATTTATGATTAATCAATAACCTCCTTTCAACTGGCCTCATTCTCTAGTGTTTAGCACCATTTCCCATCAAAATAAACTGGGCAAATCATGATAAACCTGACCAAATCTGTCTGTGAAGAGTACTGGATTATCTAACCTCTTTTTCAGGACAGATAGAGTATAACTACATATCTTCCTAATTCTTACAGCACCAGAACTCAATGAATAAATAGGGTTGGGTTAAACCATATGTAACTGCTGCTTTGGAGGTTAAAAAAGAAAAGGCTAGATGTTGACAATTTGGTGTAACTTAACACTTTGCCAATAATGGCACTGGCTCGTTAGAATTTTAGAGATGTAAATTACAGTTATATTTATCACAGCGAAAGAAAAAATTTCAAGTTGGTTTTTAATAATGCTAATTAAACCAATCATTAAATTCCATGGTTTTCCCAAGTTGTGACAGATTGTACTTGAAAAAAAAGCACAATTCACTGGTTTAACAGAGAAGTTTCAGAGAAGAGACTGGCCACAGGCTATCTCTAAATGTTCACATCTAGTTTGGAATTTTAACATGTAGTGAAATTTATCAGATACAAGCAGATCCTTACACACCAGAAATCAGCCTACCTAGATATCTGACAATCCCAAGGACTATAATAAATGTCAAAAGCAGAACACAGCCACCAATAACAACAGCACACGTAACGATAAATCCAGAAATTTAAGACCAGCTGGTTATCCTGTTGTTTAAGTAGAGGGCCAAGGAAGTCACAACATTTCTGCTTGGGGCACCTGGATGAGTGTCACGATACATGGAATTCTGGAATGAGAAACAAGGGCCTTATGACTGCATCAATGATGCCATAAAGCAAATGCAATTTCCAGGCTTAAGAGTCCACTGTGTAGGTGAAATACCCTTAAGTAGCTTTAAAATGGGATCAATTCTTTTAGAACAAATGCCCCTAGAGGAGACCTAACATAAATCTGCCATATACACCTATTCTATGCTGTAACTAACAGTATTAAATAAGGCTCTCCAGAGGATGAAAATAGAATTGAATTATATTTCCTGTAGATCATTTTTATAAACCATCTAAAAAGGACCCATTTATTACGTGGTTCAGTGTTTTACTTCATGAAGTAAAAGAAGCAATGCAGGAAGATGAAAGATCTCTACAATGAGAATTACAAAACACTGCTCAAAGAAATCAAAGAAGACACAAGCAAATGGAAAAACATCCCATGTTCATGGATAGGAAGAATCAGTATCACTAAAATGGTCATACCACCCAAAGCAATTTAGATTCAATGCTATTCCTGTCAAACTACCAACGACATTCTTCACAGAACTAGGCAACCCTATTTTAAAGCTGGAATCAAAATCACATATGGAATCAAAAAATAGCCTGAATAGTCAAGACAATCCTAAGCAAAAAGAACAAAGCTAGAGACATCATGTTACCCCACTTCAAACTACACTGCAGGGCTACAGTAACCAAAGCAACATGGTACTGGTACGCAAACAGACACACAGACCAATGGAACAGCATAGAGAGCCCAGAAATAAGGCCACACACCTACAGCTATCTCATCTTCAACAAAGCTGACAAAAACAGGCAATGGAGAAAAGACTCCTTATTCAATAAATGCCGCTGGGGTAACTGGCTAGCCACATGCAGAAGATTGAAGCTGGGCCCCTCCCTTACACCATATATTAAAAAAACTCAAGATGGATTAAAGACTGAAATGTAAAACCTAAAACCATAAAAATCCTGGAAGACAACCTAGGCAATACCATCGTGGACATTGGAACAGGCAAACATTTCATGACAAAGACACCAAAAGCAATTGGAACAAAAGCAAAAATTGACACATGAAACTTCAGAGCTTCTGCACAGAAAAAGAAACTATCAACAAAGTAAACAGACAACCTACAGGATGGAAGGAAATACTTGAAAACTATGCATCTGACAAAGATCTAATATCCAGCATCTATAAGGAACTTAAACAAATTTGCAAGAGAAAAACAACTCCATTAAAAAGTGGGCAAAGGACATGAAGAGATACTTTTCAAAAGACATATATGCAGCCAACAAGCATTTTTTAAAGATCAATATCACTCATCATTAGAGAAATTCAAATCAAAAGTACAATGAGACACCATCTCACACCAGTCAGAATGGCTATTATTAAAAGTCAAAAAACAACGAATGCTGGTGGGGTTGTGGAGACACTTATACACTGTTGGTGAGAGTGTAAATTAGTTCAACCATTGTGGAAAGCATATGACGATTCCTAAGAGAGTTGAAAGCAGAACTACCATTCAACCCAGCAACCCCATTACTGGGTATACATCCACAGTAATATAAACCATTCCACCATAAAGACACATGCACATGAAAAGTTCACTGCAGCACTATTCGCAACAACAAAGACAAGGAATCAACCTAAATGCCCATCAATGGTGGACTGGATAAAGAAAATGTGGTATGTATACAACACAGAATACTATGAAGCCATAAAAAAGAACAAGATCATGTCTTATGCAAAAACACAGATGGATCTGGACGTTATTATCCTCAGCAAGTTAATGTAAGAACAGAAAACCAAATACTGCATGTTCTTACTTATAAGTGGGAGCTCAATGATGAGAATACATGAACACAGACACTGGAAACAACAGACACTGGGGTCTACTTGAGGGTGGAGGGTGGGAGGAGGGAAAGGAACAGAAAAGGTTAACTACTGGGCACTGGGCAAAATACCTGGATGATGAAATAATCTGTACAACAAACCCCCATGACACAAGTTTACCTGTATAACCAATCTTCACATGCAGCCCTGAACTTAAACATTAAAAAATTCTAGAAAACCCCAAAACATGTTATACATATTTTTAAGGTTTCACAAGAGTTTTATTTGTATTAGGTATGTTACATCTGCTTGACTTATCAGCTACTAATATACTCTATCTCAAAAAAAGAGGTAATATGAAGCTATGAAACTACACACTTCACTGTCCACTAACTAAAATCTGTGAATGATCTAAAATCAGAGAAGGGACATTAGGTAGGAGCGCTAAATGAGAAGAAAGTGATCTGTAACAAGCCAGATATAAGGTACCTTGGGTGTAACTGATTTTTCAAACATTAATTTCACAATCCACCAACCACAATCTGGTGAGTCCAACCAGGGAAGAGAAGGTAATAATACTTCCTTTTATTATTTTTTAAGAGGAGGTCTCACTATGTTGCTCAACTCCTGGGTTCAAGCGATCCTCCCACCTTGGCCTCCCAAAATACTGGGATTACAGGTGTGAACTACCATGCCTGGCCAGGTAATGATGTTTCTAAACAACTCAGGAGCTTAAACATTAGGGACCGTAACAACCTAACCCTGTGCCTACACGTGTGTGTGTGTGTGTGTTGTATGTGTGTGCAAATGTGTTCAGTAATATTCTTAAATTGCTTTTGTTGGGTATTTTTTTCTTTTTTTTTTTTTTTGAGATGGAGTCTCACTCTGTTGCCCAGGCTGGAGTGTAGCAGTGCCATCTTGGCTCATTGCAACCTCTGCCTCCTGGGCTTAAGAGATCCTCCAACCTCAGCCTCCCAAGTAGTTGGGACTATAGGCACGCACCCCCAATTCCTGGCTAGTTTTTTTTTTGGATTTTCTGTAAAAACGAGGATTTCTCATGTTGCCGAGGCTGGTCTTGAACTTCTAGGCTCAAGAGATCCTCCTGCCTTGGCCTCCCAAAGTGGTAGGATTATAGGCATCACACTGTACCTGGCCTTTTTTTTTTTTTTTTTTCAAGAGGAAAAAAGAGTATGTCACATTTCATTTTATCTGCTCTCAAGTTTACAGAGACCCATGTGTTGGAGACCATGCCTGGGTAGCAGAAATGACACACCACTACAGGCTCCTGCCCCAGAGTGCCCTTCTCACCACTGTGAAAGAAGGAGCCTCTGCTGGCAAAGATGCTCTGTGCACAGTGCTCATCCCCGCAAGACTCACTCAAACCTAAATAAAGATACTGTGGCCATCGCAGACACCCTGACCAAATAAATACCCCAGCCACACCAGACCCATCTCCCTCCCGTTCCATCATCAATTCCACACCAGGGAACAAAGGAGGTTCAGGTCCAGCTCCATCACCTTCCTCCAGGATCCACAGATAACCTTCCAGAGAGAAGGTTCACATGCACATGTCAATGCACAGGGTGGCCCTGACTTGATCAAGATCAGGGAGTATCCTCAGAAAAGTATGGCAATTATGAAAAGAAAAAAAAAAAAGACGTCAAATAATAAATTGTAACAAATATGATCAAATTTTGTGCTGAATAACAGGTGGAGGTCACACAGTCAAAAGAGTGAATGTTAACAATGCCAGTCCAATTTTAGTACTGCCTAGCAGATCTTTCCCCAGACCAAGAAGACTCCATTTGGTATGGTGGAGGTAGGGGTAGCATTTGTTTATTTAGCAAATATTTAGACCCCGCTAGGTCCCAGAGCTCTTGGGACACATCAGTAAAGCAGAGACAAAACTCTCTGCTGACATGTGTGCCTATTCTGGCAGAGGAAGGGAGACAACCAATATGAGAATGATGAGCACGCATATGAGAGGGCATGTTGTAAGGTGATATCTGCTCAGCAATACAAGAAGTTAAGTGAGGTGTGTGGGGATCTGCTATGCCTTCCCGGGGGGCTAAATTAACTAGGGGGTCATAATAGGCCTCATGGAAAAGGTAATAAATGAGCAAAAATGGAAGGGCATGGAGAAGTTAGCCATGTGGACTTGAAAGATGTGAGGAGTCAGCCACGTGGACATCTGGGGAAGAGCTTTGCAGACAGAGGAAATCTCAGGTACAAAGGTCCTGAGGCAGGAGTGCTCATCTGGCACGTGTGTGGAAGAGCAAGGAGGCCAGGGTGGCTGTGCAGGGTATGCAAGAGGAGGGGAGTAAAAGAAAAGAGGAGAGGCCAGGCCACACAGGTACATGGGGAGTGTGGGGCTGGGAGGAAGCAATTCAGTGGAGCCATGAAGGCTCCGCACAGCTCCAGCTGTTCCTCTTAGTGAAAGGGGGCTAATGAAAGGCTGTGAGCAGTGGAGAAACAGAATATGATGCAATGCCTAGAAGGTTCACTCTGGCTACTCTGTGGCAAGGGGATGTGGGGTTGGCAAGGCAGGGGGAGCAGAAGCAAGGAGACAGGTTTGAAGGATCCTGCAGTGATCAAGTGCGAGCTGGGAGACAAGGTAGTGAGTTGTGCTGAGACTTGGGAGCAGGAAGGACCCTGCTCACAAAAACTGCTCACAGGTTGTAGAGAAAGAGAAAAGGCAAGGAAGCCTGTAGTTTAGAGGGGAACACTGGGTTGGGGACAGGGCGTCTGAGATGGGAATCCAGTCCCAGACAGGTTAGAGATGACTGCTGGACAAAGTGGAGAGGTCAGCAGGCAGGTGGATACAGGAATCTAGCATTTGGAGAGAGGTCTGAGCTGTAGTCAGATTTGTGAGTCACTGGCATACAGATACTTAAAGCTGTGATGCTGACTGAGTGTAGAGAGGTCACCTCTTACGCTTTCTTCACTGGGCCTTAGAGTACTAAGCAATACAGCCGAAGGTTCTTTTGGCAATGCTAATGTTCTGATGTGAATCAGAGAGAGTGGAAAAAACAGGTGATTTCTGTAAATTTTTTTTTTTTTTTTTTTTTTTTTGAGATGGAGTCTGGCTCTGTCGCCCAGGCTGGGGTGCAGTGACCGGATCTTGGCTCACTGCAAGCTCCGCCTCCCGGGTTCACGCCATTCTCCTGCCTCAGCCTCCCATTTCTGTAAATCTTAACCAGCTCTCATGTCTTAGATGCCAACTCCAGGAAAACAGCCCACTACTTCAGCCAGCTAGACCCTAAAAGTCTCCAGGCAAGGCCATCTATGATCACTCTATACCTATGATCACTCTGAAACTGAGGACAAGAGAGTTCTTTGAGTCAGCTTATCTGCCTGCTTCACATCTGAGGAAGTGTGCCCACTGCTTACCTTCTCAATGTCTACAAGTTCAGTCTCATAGATCTCTGCAATAGTAATGTGGTGCTTGGCTGCAATTGTAAACCTTCCCTAGGGGAAAAAATAAGAAACAGTCACACATCCATTTTCCTATCTGAATGCCAGTTTGGGAACATAAAAAAGAGAGAGAGCACTCCAAGCCATCTCAAGACTCCACCCCACAGCCACTCAAGCAATGCAATGTCTTACCATGTCTGTGTAAATGTCGATGGCTGCATTTAAGCAGTTGATAGCCTCTGAAGCGTAGGCATTTAAGAAAAACAACGAAAAAATCCATTCAGTCAAAGAGGGTTCAGGTGAGGCTGTCTTCTTGGCTGTTATTAGAACGTTAATGAGGTATAATTTTGGAGTGGAGGGTGGGCAGGTTAGTTAGTGAGAAGCAAACAAAAATCATGCACAAGTCCAGATTCATCAGCATGGCTTTGTTCCCAGCAGCTACAGTATAATTTAGGGAACTGTAGCTGGAGTAACATTGTCTTAGTTACTCTTAACCTTAATGTGAGGACTCCATCCAGGCAAAAGACTGTATTATTAAAAAAATAAAACCATGGAGGTTGTCACCAACACTGGTAAATTATATCTGCTAAAATATGAATGCAAACATATTCCTCATTAATACCATGCATATATATTAATTTTGGAATATGGCACCACATCACAAGAACGATCACCTCAATAGATTCTACTCTCCATGCAGCCAAAAGCAAAAGCACTTTGAAATGCCTATTCAAACAACCCTTAAGCAAAGTCAACATTCTGTATAATGTTCAAAGATGCTAAATTGTAGCATACTAACAAAATGAAGAAACAAATCTAATAAATAATAATGCTAATAAATTATACTAATTTTCTTAAAAAGTAAGCCAAAAAATTTTTCCCATCATAAAATGATGGTGTTTATAATGCTGGCATATAATAAGCTCCAAGTTTATTACTTTTGGTTTAAAGAGGCAGCAAAGTAGAACGGCCTGACTACAAAATTAGAAAGGTAAGCAGATAAACAAAAATTGAAACAATTTCCCTCTAAACTACATAAAAAATGTGGATCCCTGTTATACCTTTAGAAATACAGAATATAAAGAGAAAAATTATCTATCTATAATCCCACTCAAATCCGCTGTTAGTATTCAGATGTGCTTTTCCTTTGTTTATTAAACACATTTCTATACGCACAAATTTTTTTCTAAAAATGAGATTATACAACATTCTATCTCATGTGCTTCTTTAATTGCCATGTAAACATTTACCAGGTCACTGAAGATTCTCTGAAACCAGGGATTTTAATGCCTGCACCATATTCTAAAGTACTGATGCATTACAATTTTACTACTCTAACAGCTCATTTAACCTATGAGTTTTTCACTTTGGGAAATAAACTGTGATTAATCCTTATACAAAAGGTCGTGAAGATACTCTATTTCTTTATGACATATTTATTCTCAAAATTTGGGATTTGGTGTTGAACAAAATGGACTGCTAAAAGAAAAAGGAAAAACACAAAATTTCTGCCATGCACACGGGTGGAAGGGAAGAAATACTTTTAATTACACTCTTCTAACTAAAAAGAAATAACCTTTGCAAAATTTTATCACATTAAATATCCAATTGCATTCTTTCCTCAAAACAAATACTTTGAAAAACACTTTTTAAAAAACCAAATGGATACTGTATGAATAAGACTTTTTAACGATTGAATATTACAATTTCCCATTAACTGGATCTGAAAACTCCTTAGGTATTTAGGAGTAAGGGAACATAAGAGTTTCCTTTTATGAACAATATACATTTTCACAAAATTAAGATATAAGAAGTCTTACGTAAAATCAAAGGTTATTTCCAAAAAATTCTCTAAAATGCAGTATAAATGGAGTTTAATTAAATGATGCTATAAACTAAACAGCCAGTATAAATTTAACATATTTTCTCCTCGTAAAAGCCCCCAAATGATTAAAAAATAAAAATCCCTATGGTTATAAAAATTTATCTATTATTCCAAAATACAAAAATTCCTTTTTACCAGGACTCGAAAGGACACCAACACTGACCTTAACGTTGAGGGAAGTACTGACTGGTTAGTTACACACAGAGATACGCATGCTACGCGCCTGGCTGCCTTACCTTGGGGATCTGCCTTTTTGTAAGCATTTCCAGCATCCACAAAGCTGGTAGCGGAGTCATGTTTGCTCTGAAGCTGCATGTGGAGCTTGGCTGCCTGACAAAATGCGTTTCCTGCAGCTGAAGAAGACACTACAATTAAACACAGAGGAATAAGTCCCCCCCAGAGCAACCCATGCTCTAAGTAGTGGACCTCCCTATTATATTCCACTGAAAAGAAGCATTCTAGTCAGAAGCAAAAATCCATGTGGTCCAGTGCACCTCGGGCAAATATAAAAATAACCAGAATCAAGTCAAACAGCAATGAAAGCTTCTCCACCTCAGCCCCAGCAGACTTTCCAAGTGTCCCTGGGCACTAAGCCACCATTCCCTGATCTGACCATTCAATACCAAAAGCCAAGTCTTGGGCTACTGAATTCAATTCCACTAACACATAATAAACACCAGCTAAGGGCTTCAAGCCACAAATGATTAAAGAAAGGTAAAACACTAAACTCAAAGATATTTGCTCACTGTTCTTAGTGTCTTCTAGACTTAGCTGTCAGAGTGGAAGAAACTGCTAATGAAGGGCTTCGTGGATAAAGTAAGTTTCCTAAAGAGTGAAAATCAGGCCTACAATTTTGAAATCCATAAAAGTCTAAAAATCCAAATTTTTTTCTTTGGTTTATAGCAAAATCTGACTGAAATTTATATGAGGTTTAATCTATTTTACTCCATTTAGTGTGAAAATTTACACATTTCCCTGCAGAATCACTGATGGATCTGGTTGTGGGGTACTGCCCAGGTCTCCAACTGGGACATGCACAACATACAAGGTACACGACCTAATCTTTTTCAGAAAAGGTTTTGGATCAGGGACCATGGATTCTGGAGTGCTGGAAAAGAAAGAGGGAAGGAATCGCTAGCAGAGGAGTCACACGAACACTGAAGAAATGCTTGCAGGTAAGAAAGGGCTGGAAGTGGAGGCCAGTGACAAGCCTGCCATGACTGGAGGAGGGCAGTGGAAATCAAGGCTGAAGCTGCATCAGGCCACTTCTGAAAGGGTTTAAACATCAACAAGGGAAACTTCCTGAGTTCAGAGAAGCAACACGGCAGAGTGCCTCCGAAAAATGAGTCACATTGGGGAAGTCAGTACAGTAGAAATGGAAAGGAAAGAATCTGATCTACCACGAAAAGCATGGTTAAGAATATCACAAAGTCTTTAGGTTTCTAAAAAAATTATCATAAAGCAGTACTCACTGCCGATATTAAACATTTGCTATAAATTTTTTTGTGAGGAAAAAAAGTACAATTCTTTTCTTTTGTTCGAGACAGGGTCTCAATCTGTCACCCAGGCTGCAGTGCAGTGGCGTGATCACAGCTCACTGCAACCTCTACCTCCCAGGATCAAGAGATCCTCCTACCTCAGCCTCCCGAGTAGCTGGGGACACAAGCGTGTGCCACCACACCTGGCTTTTTTTATTTTTAATTTTTTAAAATAAATTTTTGGCCGGGTTTGGTGGCTCAAGCCTGTAATCCCAGCACTTTGGGAGGCTGAGGCAGGTGGATCACCTGATGTCATGTGGCAAAAGCCCATCTCTACTAAAAATACAAAAAAATTAGCTGGGCACGGTGGCAGGTGCCTGTAATCCCAGCTATGTTGGAGGCTGAGGCAGGACAACTGCTTGAATCCGGGAGGCGGAAGTTGCAGTGAGCCGAGATTGTGCCACTTCACTCCAGCCTGGATGACAGAGCAAGACTCTGTCTCAAAAAAAAAAAAAAAAAAATTTTGTAGAGACAGGTTCTCACTATGTTGCCCACGCTGGTCTTGAACTTCTGGGCTCAAGCAATCCTCCAGCCTCGGCCTCCCAAAGTGCTGGGATTACAGGTGATTATACCTGGCCATAAACATCCAATTCTGCTAAAGCTTCAGTTGCATCTCTTGTTCCAACTCCCTCTCCCCAGAGGAAATGCATAATTCTCATGTGGGTTTCTGAACCTGAGGGCAAAGGGACAGTACAAACTCTGGAACCCACCTGCCCAGGTTCAATTCTTGCTCTGTATCTCAGTTTCTGATTAAAAGAGTACCCAGGCATCTTTGAAAAATATGTAGCCACCAGCATGACATGGGTATTGCTATGATCTGAATGGTAGTATCCCCCCAAAATTTGTATTACTGGAGCCTGATATCCAATTTGACAGTGTTATGAGGTGGGGCCTTTGGGGGAGTGACGAAGTCATGAGAGCGCCACCCTCATAAATGGGACGAGTGCCCTTATAAAAGAGGTTGAAGAGAGCTGCCATGCTCCTTCCACCACATGGGGACACAGCAAGAAGGTACCATCGTGGAAGCTGAGAACATTCCTCACCAAACACGGGATCTGCTGGCACCCTGATCTTAAACTATCCAGCCTCCAGAACTCTGAACAATACATTCGTTTTCTTTATAAATTACCCTAAGGTATTTTGTTATAGCAGCAGAAAGAAAGCAAGGCACTGAAGAATCAGAGTAGATGCCAGCCTCAGGGCTAGAGCTGGAACTGAAGAAGCCCTGCTGGCCCCTGGTGAATCATGAGAGGCTGGTGGGTATCCAGGAGGGGCAAAGGCCACTACCAGGGCAGTGGCCAGGCACCTGGGGTACTTGGGGCAGCACTTAACCATGAAGTGGCAGCTCAGTAACATATCTGGCTAAGTGGGAGCTTTGATGGGCTCTGCCCCAGAAGAAGGTAGTAATAGCTTGGACTTCACAAGTAAAGTGCTTAGAAGGGCCTGACTCACATTACACACAGTGGCCACTTTCATTATTATATGCAAATCTAGCCTTAGTTCACACCTGCGGTCTGGCATGTTGAAATGCCATCATTTTTTTACAACGTACATCCTTGCTCTCCTGCTGGCATTTCATTTTTTGTAACTTATCTATGTTTCCTGTCCCAGAATCAGTCATGGTCCATCCTTTTCTTGCTCAGTAATACCACAACACCCAGGCTCTTCTAGGCTACCTCCATCTCTCCAGACAATAGTAAGTGCTTTAATTTTACATTTTCACATTCCCACATTCCAAAACGAGTTGCTGGCTTACTTTTTCACTCTGACTATTCATTCCAATCATTAATAGCAAATGCTAGCTCGGTCTATCTAAACTTGGAAGTGTCGGGCCGGGCACAGTGGCTCATGCCTGTAATCCCAGCACTTAGGGTGGATCACGAAGTCAGGAGTTCAAGACCAGTCTGGCCAACACGGAGAAACCCCATCTCTACTAAAAATACAAAATTAGCTGGGCGTGGTGGCGCATGCCTGTAATCCCAGCTACTCCAGAGGCTGAGGCAGGAGAATCGCTTAAACTCGGGAGGCAGAAGTTGCAGTGAGCCGAGATCGCGCCACCACACTCTAGCCTGGATGACAGAGCAAGACTCCATTCTCTGAGGTGGGGGAGGGAACTTGGAAGTGTCTTTAAAGGAGCATATATTAAATTAAATGGCCTCTGAGAAGCCACACAACTTGGGCTAAATTTCCTCACCTGCAAAACTGGTATAATACCTGTCAGGATGATCTCTCAAAAACTGAGTATCAAACAAATTAGCTTAATCATTATGAAAGAACTTTTAAAACTATAAAGAGATGCAATGCTGTTATGATCATCACCAATGCAACATGGATAGAATTTCAAGGAATCTAATATTCATCCACTCAATAAATATACTGAGCACCTATGACTTTGCAGGTAATAATCCAAGGCCTGGAGATACAGCAGAGATAAAACACACAAATGTGGCCTTCCAAGGTTTACTTTCTAATGAGAATCACCATATAATAAAAACGTAAATATAAATCAATAAAACATTATGTAATTTATTTTTGCTAGATGGTGATAAGTATGTTGGAGAAAAAAAAAAAAGTTTCCAGGAAGGACAAGTTTGTTATTTTTAAAAGGGGTGGCCAGAGAAGACCTCAGCAAGAAGATGACATGTGAAGAGGGAGCTGAAGGAAGTAGGGACCCAGCAACATTCTGTTTGGGGGAAGAGTAGGGAGACAGGGGGAACAGTACATGCGAAGGCTCTGAGGTGGGAGCTGGGTACACAAAGAAGGGGATAGTCTTTGAGGGCCACTACAGGGAGGTCAGCTCTTATTTGGAATGATATGACCTTACTTAATTTGTGTTATGTTACTTAATTAACACATTTATGCCTAGTGTTCCTTTACTGGAACGCTAAGCATGTGAGAGGTATTTATATCCCATCCTACTGCTAAGGTCATCGCCAAGGTCTGATTTCCAAAATTCAAAAAACTGCAACCTCAGACATAAGTGGAAACAGACTGGAAAAGTGCAGAAGTATGGCGATGTCAGGAGGCTAGAGCGTCATCCCAGGCAACAGACAATGGGTGGTGCACATACAAAGCCTTAGTTATATACGTGATCAGTGGCCTCCTTGAAATGGAATTTCCAAAGGTTAGAATATCTGATCACCAGATACAATTAGTAATAAGTGGTCTCAGCCAGGCGCAGTGGTTCATGCCTATAATCCCAGCACTTTGGGAGGCCAAGGCGGGAGAATCGCTTAAATTATTATATGCAAATTATTATATGCAAATAATTATTTGCATGGATGGCCTGAGCTCATGAGTTCGAGACCACCCTGGGCAACATGGTGAAACCCCGTCTCTACTAAAATACAAAAAATTACCTGGGTGTGGTGGCACGTGCCTGTAGTCCCAGCTACGCAGGAGGCTTAGGCACAAGAATCACTTGAGCCCCGGAGACAGAGATTGCAGGGAGTCAAGATTGTACCACTGCACTCTAGCTTAGGCTACAGAGTGAGACTTTGTCTTAAATAAATAAATAAATAAATAAATAAGTAGTCTCTTCAGGTAAGATCACTTTTTACTTACAAGACCTGAACAAAACAAAAGATGAAATGTGAAACAAACTGTTTTTTCCTCCATTTTAAAAACACAAGACAATTCAGGCATAAGTGTGTTTTGAAAAATAGCATATCTAAAGCCTTAGCTAAAACTAAACTTCTTATAAAGATCTTACCTTTTAGATTCAACTAGTTCAAAAGCATTTTTCTCCTTTGAAATGATTTTAAAGTATCTGCCTTGAAA